TATTTCGAGCTTTTTTGATCAAAGGAAAGCTGACTGGCATCGGAGCTCTCAAGAAACTACTTATATTTCCTGAACAGCACAAGCTAAAGAGCTGGGCCTTGTGTACGTCAATAGAGAACAGTTTTCTCTATCGAATGGTTGTATTAGAATTTCAAATCCAACGGGAAATCGTTTCTCCAGGCAGTGCCCAATATGTCAAGTGAAAACTCACCTGATTGGTCAATTGTTGACCATCCGGCTTTAGATATTTCTTAATAAAGAATATTATTCTCTTTCGAATGTTGAAAACCGCAGGTCTCTAGCTGCTTCCTATCCGGAGTTATTCAACTTACAACCGACTCCATTGTTCATTGAAATGGATAGTAGTTTACAGACAATTTGGCCAAAACAAACACGGACAGCAGACTCAGCAACAAAATTTTGCATAGGGAATGATTGTTGTACTCTAGGTACTTTTCTGAACCTATTCCTATATTCTGTGTCTCAGAGGAGCCAGTTTCTGCTATAATTTGAGCGAACACGGTACTGTAGTAATACGTTATAACGGTAGAACATCATCAGATACCATCGTCTAATAAACTAACAGCTAACCGATTCAGATATTCTACAACCAAGCGCTACTTCACTAAATGTTAGTTTGTTGCATGGTTGTTTCTAATAGAGCCTGCCGTTATAATTCATCGCTACTGTATCATTGTTCGCTCAAATTTTAGCAGAAACTGGCCCAACTTAGAATCATAGACAGGGGTGTTCCGACCTGCAGAGGTGCAGGGCGTGTTACCCTACAGGACGAACCTGATGTTTATCTGATGTTTTATCTTTTTTCTCGAAAAGTTAAAAAAACACACACCTTTCTTCAGTTCAAATCACAACGACTTAATTTTATTCTTTTCATTACTAAAGAAACAAACTCTGTTTTTTGATAACAACAACACAAAGGTAGAGAGAGAAACAAGCAAGAAAACATAAGTAGGAAGCCAAACTTCGGTTTCTCAACAAAGAAACGAAACTATGTACAAAAGCCATTGCTGGTGTCTGTATTTATGTCTGTATTTATGCTAACGTTAGAAATAAAAAAGACCCTCATAAGAAACAACTTGTTGTTTCTTTATTTACCAAACTCTCTCTCTCTCTCTCGAATTATTTCTACCAGGGTTAACGTTTGAGCAATAGGAAACTAGCATTAGACTCCATCAGCGCTATCTAACGTTCCTCTTTTAAATGCGTGCTACAACTGCCTTATTTTTAGCACAAGAAAAAGCAGGACAAAAGTTTTTTTCCTGCTCTGTTCTGCGTCCTGTCCTGCAGATCAGCAGGGCAGAGCTAAAACTTTTTCTTGTCCTGTGGGCAGGATTGTCCTGTCCTTTGCACACCTCTGGAGCGGCTCATATTTTTCTATAACTAAACCGAACTAAAACTTTCCTTCCCATGTCGTCGTTTCTTTTAAAATTCTATCGAGATTTCGTACTACGGTATTATTTTGGTGGAATATCGACAACTTCAAAAAGTGGTAACTTCGTGAATCTGCAAAGGAAAAAAATTGAATCTCGGTGAAAAAGCAAGCGAAACACAAACTGCAGTTTGATAACAGAAGCACTGAGGGCAATCTGTAGCTCACAGAAAGATGCGCACGGGCAGGTTACGCACGAAACAAGAAACTCTTTTAAGAAAAACATATTATGAAGTTCAAAAATTTGATACACAGCACAGTTATTACCCAACATTTTGTTCGATTTTGTTGTTATATTTAGTCGAAAATATTGTGAAACATTTTAGTGGAAAATATTGTGAAATATTTTGATAATAGTGATAAAGGACGGGAGCGATTATCTGATGAAATCGGTCCATGCTAAATTTCATCGATTAATCAAAGGCTAGATGTAGCATGAAGAGGGGAATATTTCTAGATACTTACTAGGCCTTAGAACCACTCTCAGAAAAAAGTTGGTCAAATTTGATTAAGTTTCTATTACATCTGATATATATTATAGATCGTAGTTTCGGACCTTTCTCTGTCACTTTCATAATTCCTCACGACTATTATATATCATCCGAAAGCACTTTTTCTTCGCTATATTTCTGTATAGCACATATACAGGAATAGCAGTTCTACGGCTAAGTATGGAAAATGATCTCCTACGTGCAAAAAGTCTCAGATATTCTATGTAAACATTTCTCATTCGGCCACTATAATAAATATACAACATTTTTTTTCAAATTTGTCCAGCTACAATTTGATATATATATAAAATAGAGAAAAAAGTGTCCTAGCGCACCTTGACATTAGATTGTTTCTGCAAAGCCAAAATTCAGAAAGCCAGTCGACCAATGTGTATTTCGAAATTTTTACTTGATTTTCATTTTTGATGAAAATCTCGGTAATTTTTCAACGTGAAAGTTCGACAAAAACTAAAGTAGTCGGCTAGAGTCGAAATACACATTGGTCGACTTTTTTTTTATCCTGATTCCAAATATGGTATTTTTATTGCATAAAAGTTGAATTCTGATGGAAAAAATTGAGAATTATGAGCAGAATTTCAACGGAAGTTTGGTCGTGTGCATCTTTTCTAGACCCAAAAACAAGACTGTAGTAGATAAAATTAACCTTTTTCCACGTGTGTTGGAACTTTTTCCTTTTTTATACAGCCAGAAAACATGAACAAAGTAACATAAAAAAAAAATAATGATAATGAGAGAAATAACTTAACTTAGATTTATAGCGTGCAAACTGTAAAAACATGTATATTTTTAAAAAAAAGAAATTAATAGTTTTTACTGGCGACTTAGTCTTTGTCGATACATGTAGGCTAATGATTTAACAGTATTATAAATAATTTCTCTTCTCGATGTGCCGCAAACCCTTTCATGCCAGTCTTCTGGATTGATAAATGGTAATTGTGCATGTAATATTTCACCAATTGTCACCAAAAAACCACTCGATTTTAATGGATAATCTGTGGGTGTTCGTTCACGGGCTTGATAAACATACTCAATTGGAATTGGAACCTTAACAGACACATCTAATTGCCGTGATACAGTAAAAGCATTATTAAAATAAATTACTTACTGCTTGAGTGAATAAATGTAGCTCAATTTTATTCAAGGGATCTTGAAGTATTATGTAAGCAATATCAAACCACCTATAATCTTTATTCTTCATTAATAAGAAATGAGAACTAAATTATCTTACTCACATATCTGGTACAAGTTCAGCTATAAAGTTTTCAATTGATACAACAGCTTGTTCTTGACGAACAGCATTTTGTCGACGAAGAGTTTCGATTCTTTGTCCTGCTCCCTTAAAACCCGCCTCAAATCCAACGGGTTGAGGTGCAACACTAGACTGAACGCCCTAAAGAAACACGACTAAAACTATATAAAAAATAAAATAGATCTTACTACTTACAATTCCTTGTACAGTGGCTCGACCAAAAACATGAGTAAACGCATCTCGAACGGGTGTCAATTTAACTTCTTTTACCGAAGTTACAATCAGATGTATATCAGCACCAGGTTCTAACATAGCAACAAGACAAAACACGGATTCAGTTTGAGTCAAGTACCAAATAAAGACTCACGTACGAATATACTGCTTCATTTGTGGATCTACGGTTGTTATCACTGTCTCAATACCAGTCTAAAACGCGAAAAAAGGATGATACTAGAGGAACGAATAATTACCAAAAACTTCAGTGAGTTTCTTCGTAAGTTGCTAGCTTACGAAAATTTTTCTTTTAATATCGAGATTACTTCGGTTATTGAACTTTCTAGCGATGAGATTTTTCAAGAAAGACTATCGGAAGCTAAAAAACAAGTTCAGCTGTAAAATGATCACGTGGTATATGAGATACTGAGTCATTATAATAAGAAGTAACTAATAAAAAATCTCACACAAGTAACTTTAGAAAGAAAAAAAATGCCTCGTGTTAAACCAAAAGTTCGCCAAAAAACCGACATACTCTACGACAAATTTCGTGAACGTTTAGAGCAAAAAACACTTTTTTGTTTTCCTATTTATCGTCATAGTCAACAATCATTACGATCTATTCATCAATTTTTAGTACGTCACGGCTTTGTATGGAACCGTACGTTAATTGATATGTTAAAACGTTCATTGTCAAATTCATTAATACACGCATTCAACTATGAAATATTACAACAAACACATCATACAGACAGCAATACTACCGTGAATCTAAAACAACCACAACCACTACACCATTATTCATTACTACCATCACAGGTTGATTTAAGAATTCAATTAACACACGTTAACGCATTACCAGCAAGAACGGAACGTGGTCTATTTATTGTTTTAGAAATAGGACGTATAGATGAAGATGTACGTTATAGTATTGTGTCATTATTAGGAAAACAAACACCGTCATACGACATTGTACTAAGTCGCGGTTCAAACTTACCCAAACATATACGAGAAAGTGATGGAGAAATATTATTTGATCATTTAGCATCGGGTCTAAATGACTTTTTGTTACAAATACCGACGAACGAACAAATTCCGATGAGTTTACAAATGGGTCTGTTATTTCATTTTCCCATAACACAATTAGGTAAAAAAGTAAATCATACCTGATATATCATGTATGATATAAAGTCTTTTAAAAGTTTTTGTTTTTAGAACTCGATCATGCTGAATTGCGATCATGGTCTGGTCGATTTAATTGCCCCGACATTATTGGTCGAGATATTGTACAATGTTTGCGAACATCCATTGAAAAATACGTTCAAAATTATCAAATAAATATCACAGCATGTATCAATGAAAGTGTAGCGGCACTCATTTCTGTTGCTGTTGAAAATCCCAATACATTAATATCATTAGTTTTTGAACGATTTTTTTCCGTTTCATTTGCTGAAGATGTTGAAATATTAAAAATTAAAAAAATTTTAACACAAACACAATCTCGAGCATTATATAGAACTGTTATATCGATTGATTTTGATGAACTAAGACCTGGTACTTTGCAAACTAGTGATGCTCTTTATCAAAGTATATTAACAAGTTACGACATATACATTATGAGACAATTTAACGTTAACTACATTGAAGTATTGACAGTTGATTCGTGTTTATTAGAAATGATACGTTTAATTATATTAGAATCATGTATTAGAGGATATTTATTGAAATTTCATATTTGGTCTGTTTCAAAATTAAACAGCATTGGTTGCATTAGTGTAGAATTTATTCGTTATTTGCTAATGGATTCCTCGAAACACTTAAAACCATTATTGAAACAGATAGGTAGAACTAAAAAATGAGTTGAATAAATTTTTGTAAAAGAATATTCCTTTGTCTAATATCAGGTATTAGTCATGTATCAAAACTGAATTTAATTTTAATGGAATACATTTGTCATGTGATCATTCGACGTGCTAGTCAAGTATTATCGTGCATGACCGTCAGTTTATCTGATAGAGCCAAGGAAGAAGACATCACAATTGCTATAGACAGTACAGTTTATCGTTCATGTCCTGTATTTCGCGTCTATATGCAGTACGAAACTGAAGGTCTTTGCAATAAATGGGTAACAAGACATCGTTTTATAACGGCAACAGACAAATGTTATTTGGGTCCGGCAGCTGTTATGGGTTTACAAAAAACGCAAAAAGCGTTGATGATTCGAGATGAAATATCACGAAATTATATGATAAAAAGAATTCGATCAAGACGACGATTAAAAACAAATAGTAGGACGCATAGAACAGAATTACGTTATATAAAAGTTGAACAGCTACGACAGACACGTTCACAAAAGCATATATGATGTAGTACGTACTTTCGCTTTTTCAACTACACTTGATATGAGTTTATTGTTCGAAATCCAATTCCAAATACCTGGCATACCCATCTGTTGTTGTTGCTCCTGCTGTGGTTGTTGTTGTCTAAAGTCTGATCCGACACTCATCGAATATTGCCATGGAGCTGTTGGATTATATTCGATGTCTTTGATAAAATAATGTTTATAAAATTATTCGCCTTTTCTTCTACTATATAAAAACCCTTACCTGGAGGTACATACGTCGGCGTGTAAATATTTGCCTCTGGAGCATTCATTACTCTAAAAAAAAAAACACAATTTCTCAATGCTTTTTATTTAGATCTTTTGCTGATTCAATACAGTAAATAGTGGAAGGATCTAGCAAAATAACTAGCAGATTTATACTAATAACTAGATACAATGTGTCCTTGCATTACCAATAAAAGTTATTTAATTTCATTATACTTGCTTGTCTGTCACTTCAAAATTATGTTTTTATGAATTCTCTATGTGGATAAAATCAACTATCAACGTATAACGATGCAGAATACATTCATATAACCTACCCTGAATTTGGACTGGTATTAATAACCTGAGAAGGCACAAAATGTTGCTGTAGTGGTGATTGATATGGTGCAAGATTGGACCATGGCTGTTGTTGATTTTGAGTATGTGCCGTCATGCTTGGATATATTCTTTCCGTTAATGATGCACGAGCAGAAAACGGATTTACAGATGCTCCTAAAGAGAGAAACGGAGGTAAAATTCAGTCTCTCATTCTTATGTGAGGAATCGTGTTTACCGATTGTGGTGGTTGAATGCGGTGGTGGAGGAGGAGCATGAGACTGCATTTGTGTTGTTAAGTTACCAACCGTCGGTATTGATGAGAAAGTAGGCACGGATGGAGATGGCATCGAAAAAACACTTTCAGTTGTGTTGATAGATGTCATAATATTAGTGTTGTTTTCAGGCGCTGGAGGTTGATTCATCAGTGGAACAGTAGACATCGTACTTGGTGGAGGTAATGTCGTACCAACGGATGGAGACGACATAGCTGTCGGAAGTGCTGTTACATTGTTAGAAAATGGCATTGCAGACTTAAAAGTTGGCTGCACTGAAGATGTTGTTTCTAAATGACTCAGTGACGAAGTATTCTGCGCTGAGATTGGTGGGAACATGTTAGTATTTGCAGATTGGTGTATGGGTCTAATAAACGGAAGTGTGGATGGCATAGTTGGAGCGCGAAGAGTGCTTTGATCACCAATATTAAATTTAGATTGAACAGATGAAGATGGCTGTAAAGGTGTAAATGCTGAATTACCAGTGGACAATGGCCTTGTTGGTATTTCCGTTGTCGGTGGTTGAAACAAGTTCAGTCCGCCAATTGGTCCACTCGCGATTCCTGCATTCGATGTTAATGTAACTGTTGATAATGGTAATCGTGAACTTGTGGATTGGAACAATAATGGATTGGGCAAGCCACTCATTGATGACGGCTGAAACAACAGAGGATTTGTTTTGTTTTCGCTTTTAAAGATATTTGATGGTTGTATAGAAGTACCACTTGTATCAGATAAAGACAATGATTTGACTTGTGGCAAAACTAAATCAAAGAACAAATTAATGTATATGTGACACAGCATTGTAAGTATTTATTTCTTACCACTTTTTACATCTGTTGTAGCAGCATCATGCAATTCACTTGTTACTTGTTGCTCATCATGGACATGTGGTACTGATCTTATATTCGATGACAAATCATCTGCAGAGTCAGAAAGAGCTATATTTTCCATCTGAAAAAAGAGTAATGGACGCAGAAGTATTCCAACAGAAAAGTTTCTAAAAGAAAGAGGGAGAGAGAAAGTTTATTCCATTTGAGAAACACATACTTGTTTTTCTATAAGAGGTCTAAAGTATTCGCTACCAAGAATTGGACGTACAACAGCAATGGAAGAGCGTGTTGTTACATTAACAATTCATATAGAACGACATATGACTTTGAGAGCTGTCTGTTTCTTTGTATTCCTATGCAAATTCAAATATCAACTGTAGTCCACCAGAACATGATTAGTAAATATCTCAGTCACTACAAACGATCAGAAAAAACAGAACTTGAAATTCCAATTAATCTTGTTTAAATCCAGAGTTTCATCCAAATGAATTTGTGTACTGAAGAGTCAGAAAAGATGCAATGTTTTTAACTCTTTACATACTAATCAATAGGCATGAACGTAAGTGGATATCGTAGAATTGATATATCACAGTGACAATACCACAGATCAAAAATAAACTTTTCTGGTTAATGATGAATGTTAACAGCAGAGACAAAGTGTACGTGGTACGCACTGAAAATTCACTGTACATTCGATTTTCATTATAAAGAGGGGATTCTTAATCGAATGATTAATGACAGTTAAAATAATGACTCGATGACGACTCACTACTACGTCAGAAAAACGCCCACGAAACCTCAGATTAAGAAATGTTGAGATGTTCTGAGGTTGAAAATCGACACTTAAAACCTCTGAAAATCCTACAACATTCTACTTCTGAACTGAAATCATCTTTTCAGCGACCATAATTGCTTATTGAATCACTAACTCTTGAAACGCAACAAAAAAAAAGCTAAATATGAAGATACATTGTTTATGTACGGTACACGTTGCTTAAAACTTTGGTCAGCTTTGATACCGAGTTTTTGTTCTGCTAATAAACACACCAACACACACTTTGCTTAAAACTCTGATTGAGAACGTTGAAAAGTTTGTACCAGATAAGCACATTTCTTTCTGCCACGACCATATCACAATCTGGTGCTGGCATGAAAACCGTCAATTGATGAAGAGTCACCAAAGATATTCTATTGGTTGAATGCGGAAGTCAATAAGAAGAACAAATTCTAGATGAGGCAACAATTCAGTGACAGCTAATATATAAGGGAAAATTAGTTGAAAAAACTTCAGAATAGATAGAAGAATTGTTATACAAAGCAAAACTCAGATTTCACCGTGAAAAATTTTTCCCATGTCATGATACTTAAACAAACTTGCATGGATATTTTTTTAGTGAATGAATGATACTATACGGAAAGGTGACTCTTTACTGTTCAGCTTCAAGACAAATAATTTTTGCCTCGATATGGCAATAAACTTCTCTGAATATTTTCCTTTGTATCTTCTTATTTATTCAAATGCGAGGTTCAGTGTTAAACGAATTACTAATTTTGTTAAGCACATCATTGATATATATATAACATAACTAAGGTTTGATGTTTCTATGACACACAACAAGGTTATATTTCATTCAACCTCGCATAAGCAGTTTTGATTTCTAAATGAATATTCAAATGTTGACGGCTTTTTCAATGCCATATCATCATAGTTCAAATAGAACTTCACGAGAACAGAATGTTGATGGAAACAACGGCGATGTAGGAGGATTCTTCTCCACAAATAATTATACCTTTACTCACGTTCTTCTAGCATCTGCTTTTTACATGTTCTTTGCCATTGTTGTTCTGCTGGCTCTTGTCGTTTGGTGTGTTTTATTAATGCGTGTACATGCGAATAGATCTTCCACTCAACGACATTCACGATCGATTACCATGTTCTTAACCAGCAATCAACTGAATACAGTATCAAAAACACAGCAATATTCGACAATATGTGACGATAATAATATCTCGAATAATGACAATGGCTTTAGGCCAGGTGAAAATCAAAGTTGTCTGATTTTAATCGGAGCAGGTGAAGGTAGCAGTAAACGGACAGAAAGTAAAACGGTGACTGATGATAAGAAACAAACATCAATTATTAAACCAACATCAGTGCCAATATTGATTACTTCTTCGTTAGACTGAATCGTTCAGTATCAAACACTGTCAACCCATTTATACGATCTTAGCAGAATTTTGTGGAACTCCTTCGAATAGTTTCCGAAGGAAGGAGGAGTGTAAGTTATATACTCAGAACACTAGCGTTTTTTGATGTGTTTTACCCCACTCTGTAGTTATGATTTTAATTAAATAAAGAATAGCAGTGATTATGATCGTAAGTTCACCTAGCGGAGCCCAGTTATAACCTCAGAGCCCCTATGCATCATCGTAAAATCGTTCTTGGTATGTTTTAAGGGAAAATATTTAAAAGAGAACGATTCGCATTTTTAGAGAACGGATATTGTTTATAGCTGAAACGAGAACGGATGAACGAAAAGAGAACGGTTACATTGTTTGGAGAACGGTTTTGAATTTTTCTGACGAATTAAAAATAAAGCATGTGGTATAAACTATGATAACCACAGTAGAGAGGAGTTAGACCTAGACTGTACATGATATGACTGTACAACATATTCGTGATGAATTGCATCATCTTGCATTGGGAATAATGATGCATTTTGGATATTATCATATTCAAAATCCTTCAGAATTAGAAAACTTTGGTAGAAAACGAGATACCAACGAGAACCAAAGAAGGCACGCTTAGCATTGTTGAAATAAGACACGTTATTTGACATAAGCTTTATTCTGTCAGAATACAAGCGGAAAAATATTCCATTATAGTATTCTAAACTAAAACTATCGAAAAACACAAAATCAATTTTGTACGAATAGAGATTTGAACACACGAACTTAGCTTTGACACGTTATTTTATACATCGAAACACATTATTTGGTTTTTGTTTCAAAATTTACTTCTTATTTTTCGACTTTTTTGAATAACATGTACATTTTACTGATTCGATAATTTGAAAATTCATGATGACCGACGACGAACATTGCCAAAGATCAGGAAACTATATCACATATGAATCATACATACAAATTCAAAAACCATTCTCCAGACAATGTTAACCCGTTCCCTTTTCGTTCATCCGTTCTCGTTTCAGCTATAAAAAATATCCGTTCTCTAAAAAAATGCGAATCGTTCTCCAAAAAGTGGATAATTGTTCTCTTTTAAATTCTTGTTCTGTATTAATGGTCTTTAAATCATTCGACGACTAACGTTATTACAAACTTTCGCTTTTTGTATGACATGATTAATTGTAACACTTTTTTAGGTTACAAACAGTATGCTTAAGACTTATTGTTTCCCACAAAAGTTACCTTACCAATGATCAAGTGCCTGTGATTCGATATGAGAATAGTTAATTTTCTTGTGCAAGCTCAAAGCAAAACGATGAATAATGCGAATGATCACTCTCATAAGAATCGTGAAACTATTACTCGAATTTTTCAGTTTTAATGATAGTTGATTCGCAATCATTTTTCGTATGTATGTCAATCGTGAAAATGACATGTTGTATGCACTGTTACTGAAAGTTTGCCTGATTGCTAATTTTTTTTCAAAATTTTCGAAAACAAGATCCATCCTTGTTTTGTATTAAAATAGCCTAGAAGCACAAAATCTATTCTTTTGACAAAATCTATAAATTCTCTGCCTTGCTAGTTTGACCAGTTGGGCTTTTACTCCAAGATGATTCTGAAAGTAGTGGAAGAGATCAAATGCACACAAATAACCTTTTTAAAAAACAGTACAGCAAATGTGAGGACTG